TGATTGTGTCACATGACCTAGGTGAAGTATCCAAGCACAGGGTGCTGGTTGAAGCTTACCTCCCCTGCAGTGGCTATGGGCAAGACCACCATGCCATTTACTCTGCTGTATCTCTTACCAGGGATGCGAGTGGCGCTGTGGGTTAAACCACAGAGCCTAGGACTTGCCGATCAGAAGGTCAGCGGTTTGAATCTCCGCAACGGGGTGAGCTCCCGTTGCTCGGTCCCTGCTCCTGCCAACCTAGCAGTTCGAAAGCACCTCAAAGTGCAAGTAGATAAATAGGTACCGCTCCGGCGGGAAGGTAAACGCCATTTCTGTGCACTGCTCTGGTTCGCCAGAAGCAGCTTAGTCATGGTGGCCACAAGACCTGGAAGCTGTACGCCGGCTCCCTCGGCCAATAAAGCGAGATGAGCGCCGCAACCCCAGAGTCAGCCACAACTGGACCTAATGGTCAGGGGTCCCTTTACCTTTTTATCCCTTACCTACACAGTGGCAGTGAGAGTGGCACTTGATACAGCAGGCTCTCTGTTCGTCCCCGAGAAGGAATACTGAACCATAGCAGCCCTAGCAAGATTCTCTTACATTAAATGAAACTGGTGTATATTAAAGTTAAGTAAACCAGAAGAGCCAGAGGGGCTCGAAATCCTCTGGACAACTCTAGGCATTATGATTCCTCAGCTACAGTTCTTCATCTGTCAGACATAGATATTAATAGCCCAGGCCACAGAGTTGATATGAAAGATTACAAAATACTTGGTGCATTACACTGGTGACTGAAAACAATGCTGGCACCAGTTCAGTACAGTTCAACTCAGCATAAATACGGTGACAATACAGCACAGAAAGAGGAAAACATGGATAGCAACACCAGTGTTACAAGCTCACAACAGCTCAAAGAAAGAAACAAGAGCACTATTGTCCTCACGGCAACATTGCCTCTGACCATCTTCCTCTCTACCGCGATCTTAATTATTCCCTATAAATAGAAGAGTGGAACAACAATGTCATGATCTTCTGTTTCACTTCCATTCAGCTTAACGGGGCGGAGCTAAGGAAGTCCTCATTCACAACTGTGCTGAGTCCCGTATCATAAAAATGAAAGTGGTGCGATCAGGGGCCGACTTTGGTCTTTCAAATTTCAGCAGCACCCTGTCCAAAATTCATCGTGCCCCCACCTCTCACCTTCTGTTCTGCTCAATTCACTATGTCAGAGTTCAGGCGCCCAGTGTGGCAGAATCGGTCGCACTGCCCAAAATCTGCCTCTGGTGCAATACTACTCGCCAGCTATTTGTTTTTAAACCGTAACAGGGAAAAATAATTTATAAGAAACTGATATCCCATATCAGTACTTTGCATTTCTTCAAATCTGTGGGAACAAACTGAACTAGAGTGAAATGTGTTTAATACTCATTTCAATAGGATTGAGCTCACTTTAAACTGAACTGCAGCCTACGTCTTAATGGTGGGTTGAAATATGTTTTTTCTTCTCTTAACTGCTTCCGCAACACTACATACATTCCAAACACTGTGATGCAAGGACAGGGCACCTGATTACTGCAAGTTACACACAAGCAGACCCACTTTAGGCAACAAACAAGCTAAAGCAGAAAACAAGGACTTTTCTTCTCACCTAGATCTGATAAGCATTCTATATATTAGATGCTGAACATGTCTGCGCTTGTACATTGGCATTGACTATGATATACGCCATAAAAATCAAAAGGGAGAATAGTATTCTCATGCCTTGAGAAACACCCACCCATTTCAAAATGTACAGTGCTCTCCGGGAAATACTGGCATGTAAACAACAGGCCCATCTACCCCAGGTAGAACAGTTTTGACATCATCTTCTCCCATCTCCTTTAAAATCAGCACTGCCAAATTTAATCCAAGTGACTTACGGATGAGCTAGTGCTGCCAATTTTGCACTGCATGCTTAGAAATATATACAATTAAAAACATTCCTAATTTCCATATAAGCCCATTGCAGATAACAGTATACTTTTTGCAGACAGCTTTGTAAAAGATGATGGAAATTATTCTGTGATAATTTTGTGAGAACGTTCTTTAAAAGCAATGTCTAAGTGCTCGAGTCATTCAATTACTTTAGCATGCACCGATGTAATTTGTCCATATCGAGAGAAATGGAGCAATGAGTGACAGCTCATATAATCATTTTACTTCACTACATTAACTAAAAACTCAGATGCTTAAAGGCTGGGCTTGTCCACATTTCTTCATGTCCCGTGTTTATAAAGCACTGGTCCAAGTAGTTTTCTGCTTGACCCACACTAGAGATGGGACTGAGGCATTTTCCATTTGCCCTGTTCCTTTCCCAGGGAAAACCTGCTCTTTAGCTTTAAGGGCTTATCCACACTTACATGTTCTCCGTTCTTTCTAGGCACAGTCTGCACTTTAAAACTCCAAACACACACACTTTTCTTTTCTTTTTGCTCTGGAGCTTTCCCCGGAAAATTCACTCTTTAAAGCTCAATTGGAGCCAATAGCATATTGACATCTGCTCCGATTGAGTGCTAAAGTTCTGGTTTCCACGGGAAAAGTTCTGGGCCAAGAAAACCCCAGGCTCTTGACACAGAGCTTTAAAGTCCAGGCCTGTGTCTGGAAAGAGCAAGGCAAAAGGTAAATGTGGAGAAGGCCTCAATCAGAACAAAGGACAATTCACAGAAAATCTGGTTGCTGTTTGCTCCGACTGGGCGCTAAAGACCAGTTTCCCCGGTGGGGAAAGCAGTGGACAAGAGGAAGGGTGGATAAGCCCACAGTACAGAACACAATCAAGAGACATCTGCAAAAGTAAAAAATGAAAGCAATGGCTAATTATAAATATTCTAGTGGGGGCTTCATCTCTGACCATAGGTGTACTAAGGTGGAGACAGGGGGAATGAAACCAGTGCCATGTTAGGAGAGTCTGCCACAGGGCTGCCTACCAAATCAACAGAGTGCCAGCTTAGCTTTCATTAATATTCAGGAGGCTGAGCTCACCAAATAATTTCTAAGCCATGTCTGAATTCTTGGGGCTTAGACAAATATGATGGGGATACACTTCAAAAATTGAGGAAAATATCCTTAACTGGAATCAAATAGTTACGGACTGAAAGATTCAGTAAATTGAAGTTGGCATTATGTTTTATACTCTCTAACCCAAAGGTGACTAGAATAACTTGTGTGTTTAAGGTTTCAATGGGTGACCTACTTTCCCCTCTTTTAATGCAGTGAAAAGGAAGAGCTCCAGTAGGTTTACAATCCTGCTCTTGTAATATTATGCAAAGCTGCTGTCTAGCCATGGTTTCTTCTCAATAAATGCATCTGAGGAAGGCAAAATTGAGCAGTAACACCTTAGATTCAATCTTCAGCCTGATATGCAGTTACTGCGGAAGAGAGCCCTAACCTGGATGGGAACACACACCAAGAATTGGAAGAGAAATGCCTCAAATGGAACTTCTGACACAGCATTCAGATATAAGGCACATCTAGTTAAAGCATATGCAAAACCTTCTAGGGATCTCCCTTTTTTCCAAGCCACTGGAATTAGGATGTATCTGAATCTCATCTGAAAACTGATGAGGCTGCTTCCCTGTGGAATGGTCTCAAATTTCCATGCTCACTTTTCCTAAGTCAGTTATTAGCATTTGCCTGTATATATAATACCATCAATTTGGATGGCTTTTTCAGTAGAAGCTGCCAATAATTGGATAATTCTTCAAAGGCTGAATACATCAGCCTGGAGAAAACAATAGCTAATGTCTTATACATGCTAATTGGACCTGTAGATAATGTTCAGGTAGATATTTCTTAACTCTGAGACTATTAAATTCTTCAATCCCAGGAAAGGGAAGAGAAGCCCTAAGGAATGAGAGAAGCACAAAGCTGTTGTTTTTAAAAATAACTTAAGTAGATCAGCAGCAACAAGAAAAATTGCCTGCAAGAAGCAGCCTCAGCATTTGCTCTACATTGATAGTATCCTCCCTGCCTCAAAAGCACAAGCCCGACTTTTTCTGGAAGCCAGCTTAAGTTTTCCTGTTTAGTTGGGTTTCTGGTCACTGGTCTGTGGTAGTAGAGAGATGGCAGAACAAGAGAGGTGTGGGTATTCTATTACAGTGGTACCTCGCAAGACGAATGCCTCGCAAGACGGAAAACTCGCAAGACGAAAGGGTTTTTGGTTTTTTGAGTTGCTTCGCAAGACGATTTTCCCTATGGGCTTGCTTCGCAAGACGGAAACGTCTTGCAAGTTTGTTTCCTTTTTCTTAAAACCGTTAATACAGTTGCGACTTGACTTCGAGGAGCAACTCATAGCATGCGGTGTGGTAGCCTTTTTTGAGGTTTTTGAAGACTTTGGTGATTTTTGAAGCTTTTCCAAAACTTTTCCAACACCGTGCTTCGCAAGACGAAAAAAACTCGTGGAACGAATTAATTTCGTCTTGCGAGGCACCACTGTATGTGAGATTTTAATATTACTGAGATGTAACTGTTTTTGTTACTGTTGAGTTATCCAAATTATTTTGGGCTGCTTTAATCCAAATTAACAACAAATTGCTTTGTCTTAGCAGTACAGTGACAGCTGGGGAAGGCTGGGGAGATGGACCTATAAGAAGAGCAATTTAGCAGGAGAAGCTGAGAAAGTTGATGTGCCTCCTAGGCAAGTTTGAAAAGACAAGAGTTAATGACAAATAATGTGGCCTCAAATGCAGGACTCAATGCATGTTCATTGGCACTAGAAATACCCCTTTATTTTGACATTGTAAGTAGACATTAAATGCCAAGAGAAGAAATGGTCTTGTATATATTGGCATGTATCCATACAGCTGAGCCATCACTTACACCATTAAAAACTGAAAGTTGGTAGCAATAATGCATTATGAATTATTTTAAGGGACTGGATGTTTTAAGGGTATGTAACAAAACTCAGTAGGAACAAAGGATAGTAGTGACAATTTCCATCTTTCTCTCACCTGCAATATTCTTACAATATTCTTAGTTCTTACCTGCTGTTTGAGTGCCTCCAGAGATTCAAATTCAAGCCTTGCCAATTTTATCTGGATGTCTCGTGGTTTATCAGCAATCGCGTATGCCATAAGAAATTTCACAGCTAGTGCTAAATGCTGGTCGGGGGAACAAGGAGAGAAGAGGTAAACAGAATACCATTCCGTTATGAGTGCATGTATTTGTGTGCAGAAATTATCACCAATGATTAAAAACGCACAAGGGATAAGTATAACATGAACATTATCAGCAACACAAGTGAACAGCAATTTTTCTGCATTATTCTAGGGCAGGCATCCCCAAACTTGGCCCCCCAGCTGTTTTGGGACTACAACTCCCATCATCCCTGACCACTGGTCCTGTTAGCTAGGGGTGATGGGAATTGTAGTCCCAAAACAGCTGGAGGGCCAAGTTTAGGGGTGCCTGTTCTAGGGAGTAAGTGATAGTGGAGAAAAATCTACATATACATTGACAGGATAAGACTATATATCTACCATGTCAACTTTCACAGATATTAGCAAGGAGAAAGTAAATCCTTAAATGTCACTTGGTCCATTAGGTGCCCTCCATCCATCCATGAAGCTGTTGTGGGCCTCAAACCAAAAATAACCTATTCTGCAGTAACAAGTAGTGCTGTACCTCAAGTAGATTAGAAAACCAGAGATTAGGCAAACGGACAAAGAACAGAGAGATATGCTGCAAGTGTATTTTAAAAGATTGGCAAGTGATGTATGTAAACAAAGACTAGAAATTGTACAGTGGAACCTTGGTTCTCGAACGCCATGGTACTCAAAACATTTTGGCTCCTGAACGTCAAAAACACGGAAATAAGTGTTCCGGTTTTCAAATGTTTTTCAGAACCCGAACATCCAATGTGGCTGTTGGCTATTGTTTCCGGGGCACCTGTGCCAATCGGAAGCTGTGCCTTGGTTTTTGAATATTTCAGAAGTCGGAACGGACTTCCAGAACATATTATGTTTGAGAATCAAGGTTCCACTATATTCCTATTTGCATTTTACGAGAAACCAGAAGACGGTGGCTAAAGGTTTGACTGACTGCTTCAAATCACAAAGTGAAATTCACACACACGCTGCTTTGGGGACTTTGTCGTTTCTTTACGGGTGCCGAGGGAAAAGCAGAAACTAGGGCTAACAGCAGTGTGTGAGAGGCACTTCAGTCGGGATCATGGCTGGGAAGGGAAAAGTTAAACCTTCCCTCTTCCTTTTGTGCTGCAGTTCTGAGAAAAAGCCTCCCCTCTCTGGCACCTGCTATTAAGTAAAATAAAATGAAAATCCCAATGTGCTCTATGCGGCACCATGCCTAATTTGATCATTAATTTCTTGTTTGTAAATATACAATATACAAATGAGTGCCCTATTAACTCTGCATATAGGTTCTATAAATCAGAATCTTGACCTCGTAACAGGGATTATGTCGAGGCAAGCAAGGTATGCTAGGCCCCATCACTATATTGTTTTAGGTGGCTGGTAAAAATGTGGCTGTTTTAAAAGGCTGCTTTAGCTGATTGTTTTGTTTTTGCTGGTTTATCTTTCATTTCTTAGGGCTCAGCCGCACTTTTGCTTGTCCCATACCTAGAAAGCAGAGGTCCAAGATGTTTTCTGCTTGTCCCATGTTTTCGAGGCACAGGTCCAAGAGGGGTTTTTGTTTTGCTTTTTTGTATGTCCCACCACTTCCCCCGGAAAACCCACTGTTTACCACTGAATTGGAACAAGCATTAGTCTGCTGAAAAACTGATTGATGATTGTTCTGATGCAGTGGGTTTTCCTGGGGGAAAGCAGCGGGACAAGCAAAAGTGTTGGACGAGCCCTTAGTTTGGATGGCTGCTTAGGATTCTGTTATGGAGGCTTGACTTCGATGTTAATACTAGCAATGTTAATGGGGTGCATTATAGTTCATTGTTGTTTTGATGTTTTGGATTGTAAGCAACATTGAATTTGCTTTGGTACAAGTTTTCAAAATAAAATCATAAATAAGTTAGATTGTTACTAATTCAGCAACCACCAATGGTTTATAACAGAGTTTCAATTAGATTTCCTTCCTGAACACACTCCTTCCTAACCTCTCTTGATAACTGGATTGATCTTATTTTTCTCTATGCAATAGTGGCTGGCTGTCACTGTAGAAATCAAACTAGCTGCTCAAAGTTCCAAGAATTCATATCTAATTTTTTAGCAAAGTTGAGGGACACACTGATGAGGAAACACAGCTGCTCCTGTTGCTCATGGCGGTAATTTTTTGCAGAACAGGCCAGCTCCACTGGCTCTCTGAGCACTTGGCAGAAGTCCACGAAGAGTTTGATAGTGCTGCAATTATCAAGGGTGAAAGAGACACTGACATTGTGCTTCTTACCCATTTGGCAGATGGCAAAATAGGAGGATATTTTAGTGTTGACACCAGGGAGCCATGTTAATTCTATCCTGTTTTCCTCATACCAAGACATACACCCTGTAATCATCATGTAGAACATGTGTTTGAAAAGCAGAATGACTTTAAGTCTCGCAATTTAGAATAGTGCTGCTCTGCAAGGGCTTAGAATGAGAAACAACACTATTAAAGCAAAAGATCGCTTTCGTGTCGCCAACTAAAAGACCAACCAAACCACAGAAAATGTTCTTGTAATTCACAGCAGACTACCGACTACAGTCTTACTCAATTTCAACACATCTTAGCATCTGGACCGATTTCTATGTTAATTCTAATTATCAGTCATGCCCAGGATACCAGACTGATAAGAGGAGTGGGTGTTGCTTAAAACTTTCATAACTTTATCATGGATGATTACCATATTTACTAAAACAATTTTGACATGTTATTTTATCTCTTCAAGTGTGAAGAACAAAATAGTTCACCCGGTATCTATATCATGGATCCAACATGCCCTTTTGGCACTCTATGTGGGGGAGATCAGTTTTCATTATTTTCACCATTGGTTGCAGCCCCAAAACTATTCCAGAGTATACCCAGCCTTCAGGGAGACATGAGAGACGGCCAGGAAAAAGCCTCTGAGCTCAAACAGAACTTTAAACATGGTCCTTTGGATTCAAAGTTCCTGCTGACATAGAAACTAATCCAGTATGCTGATGTGCAAACATATTCAATGCTTTGAGAGTCCTGTGATTGTGCACAACTGTAGCAAAAGCATGGTACTATTTTGGAAACAATGCAGTATCCTGAAAATCTATTAAGTCCAGTCGCAGACGACTTTGGGGTTGCGGAGCTCATCTCGCTTTACTGGCCAAAGGAGCCAGCGTTTGTCAGCAGAAAGCTTCCGGGTCATGTGGCCAGTATGACTAAGCTGCTTCTGGCAAACCAGAGCAGCGCATGGAAACACTGTTTACCTTCCTGCTGGAGCGGTACCTATTTATCTACTTGCACTTTGATGTACTTTCGAACTGCTAGGTTGGCAGGAGTAGGGACCAAGCAACGGGAGCTAACCCCGTTGCGGCGATTCGAACCACCGACCTTCTGATTGGCAAGCCCTAGGCTCTGCGGTTTAGACCACAGTGCCCCCTGTGTCCCTTACAACTGTGAAAATACCTGGTGAACTCTTGATAAGCAGCTACATGAACTGGTATCCAGCAAGTATTAGAAATGTAAATACAACGAACGAACAAACCCCTAATCAGCCATAATAAATTACACAACAGCTCATTCATTGATCCTTGATCAATGGACCTTAAGGCTGTCTTTTCTCGTATTTCTGTCAATATTCAGGTGCTTTAAAATGCCATCTTTTATTTTCAAGTATATACGATAGCATTTCTTAACTTCAAATTTACCAACCCAGCAGTCTAGAATGCAGTTGCATAATGCACCCAATAGTATATTTCCATCATGCAATTCTTAAACGTTTTGGCAGAATCCTTATCTCAATTTATGGATGGTGTTTAATAGGAACAAGGATGTGGGTTGCCAAAAGTCAAATTAGCTAATGCAGTATCTAATGAAGAGTAAAGCTTTGATCATGCTCTGAAATAAATTCTACATGAAAAGCGGATAGAGAAAAATGAACAAGCAATTCAACTTGTGACCCTGTGATAAATGCCATGCTTCATGAAGTACCTCTTAACTGATTGCCAGTATCGTACACTGATGTTATATCTAACTGATGTACCTTAATGGAAAGATGTCTGGAATCTTTAAAAAGTGACATTTCTGTTCAGCATATGAAATATCTGGAATTCCAAAATTGTACACATGGAGACTATTTTTTTGTGTGTGATCAAGCCCTTTAAAAAAATCTCTTCTTGGATTAAATCAGGAGTGGGCAACCTTTTGCCTTCAAGGCCCATCTACAATGGAGGGCATGCACTCAGGGACTGCATCTCAGTAAGCTTAACCAGAGCCAGCACTAGGAGATCAGAAGACCCCTCTCCACTCAAGTAGGGAGAGAAAAGTCTTTGGAAGACAGAGATATTTCTCCTCTCCTCACCATCATGCTAGAAGTCTTAACTTTAAATGGCCAGTATAATTTACTGCCCTGACTTCCTCCCTCCATAAAACATTTTTCTTCCATTTAATTCACAAATGGTGAGCACACAAAAGATGCTGGAGCAGTGCGGTTGTATTGAAAGGGAGAAGAGCCTTGTAGCAAACACAGGCAAAGGTGCTTCCTCCTAGCAGCTGATGTTTAGCAGCACAGGTTGGCTGGCTGTAACGCTAACCACTGAAGTTTGCAGAAAGACAAGGAATGCATGGGAGTTTTGGGGCGCAAGTCACAGCACTGGCTCTCCTGCCTCTTTCATTGGTGGGTTTTAGGAGAGAGCCTGAGTAGACTACTTCCAGTTCTCACATAATTAAGGAGTTGGCTTAGTATCTATAAATGTTTCCAAACAGTAATGGGAAGAGGGGTGAGGATTTACATTAAGAAAATGGCTTGGAATACCCTCTCCTCCTGTGCTATGGTCTTGAATGGTATCACCCTTCACCCCTGTATCTTTTATTTTCATTCTTTTAAAAAAGAATAAAGAAACCAGAGGGCCACTCACAGATCTCCAACGTCTGACTTAGTTTGGGGTTGTTAAAGATGGATGTTCATATGGAACAGCTGAACTGTGTGTGCCAAAAAGACTTTACTCTCACATGTGTTACATTTTCT